CCTGTGTGCACACAACTGATCCTGAGACTGAGCTAGTACGAGCCAGTCGTCGAGGTAGTTGAAAATGTGAAAGCCCTGTTCTCTCAAGGGAACAAGGGGTGCCTCCGCAACTTACGTGAAGACACAGGGCAACAGGGACAGCCCGGAGGGCAGGACCTCGTACTGATATGCTGGTCCTTCGGATGCGAACCGCAGCAATGGTCTATGGTGCGGAAAGATCGACACATGAAAGTACGCGTCCTTCAGGTCGATCGCTGCAAACCAATCTCAGGGACGGATGCACCCGAAGATGCAGGTCCAAGATCGGCCGTAACCCACCGCCTTTCTTGGGTACAAGGATGTAGGGACTGTAAAACCTCATCTCCATATCGGCTGGAAAGACCGGCTCTATCGCATCCTTTGCCAGTAGGACTGCGATCTCCGCATGCAAGACAGGAGCATCAGCCGCCTTCACTGATGTGAAGCGGATGCCACTGAACTTGGGGGGGCATAGCCGAGTCTGATGGTCCGCAGGAACCAGCGAGACGGTATGGGTAGCCAGGTACCCAGACACCACACAAGCTGGACCAGCAGGACCACCGACGTACCCGCGGTGGAGCAGCGATGTGGAACGCAGGGACCTGGAGAGGGGTCTGAGTGTGCAGTGCAACACTTACCTGGTTCCATGGTTTGGCAGAGGGTGCGTGAGTAGGGCCTTTGACGATGCTCTCGAACCGCCCGCTGCTGCCAACACGAAGAGCTCTCAAAGAGCCACTCGACACGGGAAACCACCACTGCTGAAGCGCCGTACCGCCAACACGAAAAGCTCTCAAAGAGACTCGTTCAGTCTTCTTCTCTCAGTAGAGTTGTCAGGAGCAGAACGATGTGATCGTTTGGTTCCGAAGCGAAAAGCTGAATATGCGCTGCACTGGCTGCCTACTTATACTCACGCTGTGATCAGCGGCAGCTGGATGCAATAATCGCATGCCAATGTGCATTGGCTCGTTTAGTTTACACTCGAAGTATAAGCGAGATCCCAATTCGAAAGGGAAGCTGTGTTCTCCATTTTTCTCTGTAGTGTCTAATGAATGCTCTGTAGTGTTTTTCGTTATTGACTCATGTGTGTGTGTGATCTGAGAGCACCGTTTGATTTTGAGTGCAAGTGAAATGGTTTTGCAGTGATTGTTTGATTTTGATGGAAGAGTCAGAGGTTTCGTGAATTTAGTTTGAGTATTTGGATTTGTGTTTAAGGTTTCGTGAAAATGAGTGATGGTTTCAAGAAATGTGTTTTAGCAATTCAGAAAAACTGTATTTCTTCCTCAAAACATTGAGATTTGATTTCTGAGTGAACTAATTATGTATAAATGTTTTCACACATGATCAATGGATGTAGGTAACCAGTAAATAAGTGTGCCATTTAAAAGGCAGTGTTTGCCAAATGAATCATGTGTCTAATGTAGAGAACTGTGTTTAACGTTTTGCTAAAAGTTTGTTAATATGCTTGCAGTTTTGCAGACTTGGTCTGAAGATTCCGTATATGAATGAATGGTTTCAACTTTTAGTGTGTAAGCAATTAAAAAAAATGGTAATAATGTTCTCAAAACGTTAGCACAAAAACATTATTTATACTTATGTTTTTATAAAACATTTTAGTTGGACATTCATCTAACATTTTTTATGTTAGTACTTGTTTCATGACGTTTATAGAACATTCAAAAGTAACTTTCCCATAATGTTTGCAAAATGAAAAAATAGAATGTTCTCTTAAAACATTTTAAAAGCTGGAGTTTTTGAACATTCAGGGAACAGTCAAAAGTAACGTTTTCATAACTTACAGTTTTTTCCAATTGCTAACATCATTTTGTCCAATCTGTAGTCACATTTTCAAAACTCTATACACAATTAGCACAACATCAGTCTGTTGTGACCATACCATTAACACAATTCATGTTGTTTTCACACAATATTCAGTAAATTAACACGTTTCTAAAATGCTTAAATTTTATTTTCACACAAGCTTACCCTATACCAAAATCATAGATCTTTCTTATCTTTTTCACAAATGCTTAAACACAGCATGACAGAAATGAAGACCTAATGTTCCAAACTTTAAATATAATGTAAAGCCTCTACTTCTGCAACAACAGCAGCTCACAAGTATTGAAAAAATATCTCTATATAAAATATTGTAACATCTGATAGGCATTTTTAAGTAACAGATCACTGGAATATTTAGAAAAAGTTGATTCCAGTCTTGGGGGAATAGTCAGGTGTTTATGCTCTTTCCATTACATCAACATAGAGTAAAAAAAGACCTCTTTGAATTGGTTTTGTGGATGCAGAACAACACAAAGAATCAGAGCGAGAGAGAAAATGTCTGGGAGAGGAAGAGGAATAGTTCTAGGAGGGAGAGGAGTAGTTGGATCAGAAAAAGGGAAAAGAAGAGGTAGGGGAGAGGGGTAAGAATGTGTGCTGGGCTATGCATTTGTATGTTTGTTTTCCCCATCACACATGTGGACCCTATGAAAGCTTATTTCTGCCATGGAATATAAAGGGTAAAGGGTAATTGTGACTTTTTTTATCTCATAATTCAGACTTTTTTTCTTGCAATTGTGAATTTATCTCACAATTCCGATAAAGTCTGAATTGCAAGATGTAAACTCGCAATTCCAAGAATAGAA